TCAGGGGGTATTTATATCGATTACTATCCAATAACCGATTAACATCGATAGTAATCCCCTTGCAAATTTTGGTGATGGTCGGTCTTTAATACCCACTAAGAAAAATTACTCTGTCACGGACAAGAGTGCCTTGCCATTGTATAGGCAATTTCTTACTTCCAGCAGTATCTTCATGGATGTCATTTTATCTTGGTCACAGACCATTCTGCCCTCAAATCATTGCTAAGGAACACCCTATCTAAGGAACGTTTGGCTTGTTGGATTTTGTCTTTGCAGGAATACGATTTTGTTGTAATACATCGACCAGGAAAGCAACATTCAAATGCTGACAGCCTTTCTAGGCTTGTGATTCCACCAGAACCCAAACCTAATTATTATTATTGTCCCCAATGCCTTACTTACTATAAAACCAACACTACTTCTTTTCTTAACCAAGATCCCATGAAATATATACAATTTTGACTAAGTAGAATCTACCTTAACTGCTGCGCTTTAAACCAATTGACAAACCTACTTTTTCTAAAACTTTTTATCTTAAACTTTCTTAACATCGCAATTATGGATCCGATCCAGTATCAAACCTATATCGAATTCCTTTCTTACCCCAATTTTTCTGAAACCTTATCACTTGAACAACATAGACTTCTAAAACAGCGCACTCGTCACTTTATCGTTATTGGCAAAATCTTAAACAAAAAACATCGTTTACTACCACATAAACTTCTCCGAGTTCTGTTACCCCATGAAGTTAAACCTATCTTATTTAGTATACATTCCGACCCACTTTCGGGATATTTTAATGTCCTCTTCACCCTACAAAGAATTTCCATCTGGTATTTTTGGCCCCAGATGGGTAATGATGTTAGACATTATATCCAGTCATGTGACATTTGTCAACATAGGGGCAGGCCTAAGTCCCGGGAACCTTTATACCCTATCAAAATAGGGCAACCGTTTGACCAGGTTGGAATTGACATTGTTGGTTCTTTAACTCCTACTAAAACAGACAGCAAATATATTGTAGTTGCCACGGAATATTTGACCAGGTGGCCAGAAGCATGAGCCTTGAAAGATGCCTCAGCTTCTTCAGTTGCCTCATTCCTAATTGAAGATATAATATGCCAGCATGGCAGTCCACGTGAACTTTTTCCGACCAAGGGAAGCATTTTGACAACAACTTGATAGACGCTATTTGCACCCAGCTGAGATGCAACAGAAATTCTCATCTAGCTATCACCCTCAAACCAATAGTTTAGTAGAGAGGTTTAATTGAACCCTGTGTGAGGTGTTGGCAAAGTGTTCCATACATTTTTCTGGGGATTGGGATCGTTACTTGTTCTCAGTTCTTTTTGCCTATAGAACTACCAAGCATTCGGTTACTAGATATGAGCCCTTCTACCTTATATATAGAAGAGATGCGGTTTTACCAGAGGAAGTCGCCAATATAACTCCTAAAATTCCTCCGGCTGATGGACAAGAACTGGTGGATAATATCCTCAGAAGAATTGAAGTGTTATTGGGAGATTTACCCCAAGCTCAGATTATGGCCCGGGAGAGAACTATTAAAGCCCAAAAGTGCCAGAAAGAATGTCATGACCAAAGATACCCAATCGAAAGTTACTTCATTGGTGACAAGGTGCTTAGGTTTTGTTCAAACCTAGAAGGGACCCATAAAGGAAAGTTAGAAGAAAAATAGGAAGGTCCCTTTTTCGTTCATGATGTACTCGGTAAAGGCACTTACAAACTCCGAACCTTAGATAACAAAGTGGTGAAACAGAAGGTTCATGGCAATCATCTAAAATGGTACTATGATCGTCCTGAAGGTGATTCAGAACCAGATCATCCTTCGCAGGAGCTCAGAAAATTAGAAGGGGAGTCTGTTACGCTTCTCACATGATATTTTTTTTTCTTTATTTAGAATAGCAGTTGTGCCATCCATTATTTCTTTATTTTATTTCATATATTAGTTATTTTTATTTCCTTACTTGTGATTTCTATATATGTGTATCGTTATTTTTTTATTTGGCAAATTCTGCAGGATGTTCCATCGATGCATGTTGTATAAAGCAGTCCGACATTATTCTAACTATTGTAACCGATCACTGGTCCGAGTCCGCTTAAACAAATATCCATGACCCCTAGCGGCAAAAGGAATTTCCGAAACTGCATAGAATGGTTTCGTGAAGAAGACCAATAACTTCAAAATTGGTCATCATACGATTGATTTCGCAACCTTATTTCGGAAGGTTATATGCACTGATGCATAATCAGACATGAGAATCGTCTGATTCACGCATGTCCTCACTGCATTCATCTAAGGATAAAGAAAAAGCGTTTAATTATTATGCTAGTGCTCCTCCCGAAAGGGGATTATTGGTGTTGGGGGTAAATCTTAAAGGTAGAGACGGGAATAAAATTCATCCGTCAATAGACTAATGTAAAATTAAATATGTATTTAAGAGCTCAATATTTTCACTCAATAAAGATTTCTTCAGACTTTGCTCTCCACATTTTTCCTATTGTTTATCATTGACCAGCTGATTGAAGCCTGATATCATTAATAAAAAAAAACGTGCCATATTAGCACATGCTTCTTGTTAGCATTAAGCTATCTTAATGCGTGTTTATTAGACTTTTGTTTCTACTGTAGTTCTTTTGACTTTATTATTTAAAGTCGTCGTGAATACATTTTCACGATCTTTTATCTTTCCCCATACAATACGTGAATACATCTTCACATTTATAATACATATATATCATTTTGATCTTCCATCATGCCTTAAATCAATCCTGTTTTGGATTGTCAACAATTGGACAATCGCGATTGATTTAGACACTGGCATATCCTAAATTCACCATGTGCATTCCTTAAATAATACCCCACAGTTCCCCGTTCCGCTCTATATAGCTACCCACCATTTCATATCGGCAATGATATTCGCTTTCCTCCAACAAACACTAGAATAGTTTCCCACGCTGTCCTAGAATGCCACTTCACCCACAAATTTAACATTCAGTTCACTATCCTGACCTAACCTGGCATCCATTGACTGACACTCTCCCAACCCGATAGTAACACCGACATGAAATTAAAGCAAAATTGTGATTCAATTTGTGGCGCATGATAGTCATCAATACTAAGCACATAAGAAATGTAAAAAAAAATTAGTAATCAGAATATAAATAAAGAATACAAGAAATAAATACTTATCTTTAGTTCGTTTAATCAATAAATTCATTATTTTCCTTGCAAAATCGTTTCTTGTTTTAATTCCAATAAACTTGTTAACCGTTATTCGATTATGTCAAGCATATTGCAAATCAGAATGACATTTCCTAATATGGGAAATGTTCATACAGCTCTGGATAACTATTCTGCTGAATTTGCTTTACTATACAAGTTCAAAACTAACAAACCCAATAAGCTGCTCTTTGTTTGCCCTACAAGTGAAACCAGTACATGTCCATTTACAATTTCTGCTAATAAGCGAAAAGATGGATTCATTTATATTGTAAATTTAGTTCATCATGAATCAACTTGCTCAACTTTTACAGAAACAATCAACTCACTTGTGGAAGATGTGGTGAAAAAGTTTATAACATACGTACATGTAGTCGAAGACGTAATCAAAATAAAAATTAGTATATTGGGAAAACGATAATTTGGTAATTGACCAAATAAGAAAATTAACATTTGAAATATTCATTTAATTCAATATAATATGTATAGTATAGAGCAAATATGCTCTTTTAATAAAATTGAATAAACTGCTTATAACTATATCGCTTTATTTATAACAGTCAGGTAAGATGTCACACCGACTGATTTTACATAGTAATATTACACAAAAATTTTATACATACTTTCGGTTTGTGCAAAGAAAACCTGCAAAACCCTCTAAATACCCAGTCTTCTTGAATTAATAAAATCTAATCTGCGAGCTTTATTACATTTATTTATAGCACTTTATTTATTTAATTTTTTTTTTGTCTTTAAATATTAGAAGACAAAGAAGAGCGTAGATTTTATCTTTATCGCCCAGATCCTTTTCACGAAGCTAACTTTTACTGGATCTTTTTTAATTACAAGTTAGTACAAGCTATGGGCTATATAGTTAATTATAAGCGTAATATAAGTTTTATTAATAAAATTTTGAAATATAGTGAGTTGAAAATTTTTTACTATATAAATATATAGATTATCAACGTTCATTTAACTTTACCAAGTCTTTTTTTCGATACAGATCTATTTTCAGACGTCTTTACATTTCTCTAGACCTTCTGCTTCCACTATTTCATCAACCTGCGTTCTCTTAACTTGTTTTATAACTTTTGATTTCTATTTTTTCTAATTTAATTCTAGAGATCTTGTATTTTATACTGAGCTAGAACAATTTTTTAGTGCGAGTTGTAATTATTAACTAAATCTTCTACTTTAGCTTTGGAGATCTCTTGGGCTTGGTCAATGTGAATGATAAGCTAAGGTCTGCTGTAGTTGATTATAATATATTTGAGTAATATTTTTGAAAGATAACATAGCGTTTGAATAGTATTTGAAAAGTGCTGAATGTGGCAATTCGAAAGCACAATATGACTCGGGTGCTGTTATTAAATAGCATAAAGACATTGATGATAAATATAGTAAGGAAATACAAGATAAATAGTAATGACTTTCATGCATTAGCAAAAGTTGATTTATAAGTTTTATAATTATAACTGTCACTTTTTAATTAATATTTTATTGTTTAAAAGAAAATACAAAATTAAAAAAGAAAAATCTAGCTTGTTGTCCAGATCCTTTTAAGAAAAACAAGCTATTCAGATTATCTATAGTTATGTGTTATTTTTTGTCAGTGATTGATATTCTTTAGCTAAAAGACTATTTATATTTTTAGTTCTTCTTCCTTTAGATGCCTTTTTAGTTTTATATACTTCTTCTTGCAGAAGTTTATTTAATCGATTAAGCCCGATTTCATAGAAAGTAAACATTTGTGTATAACCTTCATTACTCATTTCTTGTGCATATCTGAAAAGATTATGCTGTCTTGGATTTATCAAATCAAATACACATGTAAGTTCGTCAACGAGTTCCCATAAAGCTTCCGTATATTGTTTAACTGACTGGTCTTTTGGAATTACTACATTATCATTTACAAATTTACTATATAACATTAGCATCCTTTCATGTTCATCTTGAATTGCTGCAATTCGTTGTTTTAAAAGCACTGTATTTGATAAGCCAGAAGTTAAGTTTTGTTTTACAAATTTAACACCGTATTGTTCTAGGGCTTCGTCGAAAGCCAAATTATGATTCTCTCTGGTAATGTTTACTGAAGCAACATGTTTGAGTAACTCATATTGCTGTGGATGGCATGATATTGATTCTAAAAAGAATGTTACTGACATTGCATAATTGTTTTTACCAGTAACAGGAAATAAAGGTGCAAATTCTGCCAAATTTTTTAATTGCATATCTAAATTTCCTGTACGAATTTCTGCACGATGAGCTTTCCAATACCCTGCTAAACGATAATACAAAAACCAAACTTTTAAGGCATTATTATTTCAATTCATTATAGTATTCTCATCTATATTATTTACTTCATCTTGCATTATATTATTTTTATTTAGGTAAAGATGAATCGCTATACCTACAGCAGCATGTATTAATTCTAATACATTGCATGTTGAACGATAATCTACGTTTTGCTCTAGCTTATCAAAAAAGTTAATACCGAGTTTTGTGGCTATACTATATAAACCATATCTACTAAATGCGGCAATCAAAGTACTGCATATAGCTTTTGATATATGCCACTGCCCAAGAATAAATTGGCAAGTTAAGTTATCATTTTGGTTCTTGCAAAAATAGCTGCATCACACGCTATATCAATAATATCTTGACCAAAATCTTTTAAAAACATATCAATTGACTCGAACACTGCTTCATTACTGTTAGGTGCTGGCCCGGGTTCTAGTATAACAAGATTCGGTGGGTTTACTTGACATCCTTTCTCAATTTTAGCTAATATTTCTACATCAATTTCTCTAATTCCAAAATTTCTTTTATTTTTATCTAGTAATTGTTTTATTATTTGGTCAAATGTCATTTCCCATTCAGTTGTAAATGCTGATTTACCAAACAAGTTTTTTTGAGATTCTGAATCTTGACTTTCTTGGACAAGACTTGACAAACTGAATGGAAGTTCAAACTGAAATATCAGTCTTAGCGTAGCGTGTGCGGATTGCTGTGTGATATTATAAATATTGCTGTACTGAAAGAAAATATCCTTAAAATCAATATTATCAATTACTGCAACATTCCAAACATTTGGCCCTTTTATTATTCTTGTTAATGGATTATATTTACTAACACGCTCTTTTTCTAGTACTAATTCATGTCTCCACGTGTGAGATGTTATATATACCGTGTGAAGTATTGCTTGTAAAGAAGATATTAATTTTGGCTTTTTACATAATGAAGACATTGTATAAGTAAGCCAAATTTTCCATGAACGAAAAGCGATTGTTAAAATAATTGATAAAAAAAACACGGTAATTTTTTTAATAGCATCTTTATTAAACTCTGATGCATTTTTTCCACGTTGCTTTTGTTTTCTTTCTCTAACTGCATGTTTATGTTTTTCGATAGTCTCAACCAATCCATCAAAAAAACTAGTAAGCGCTAAAGGAAAGCTATTATAATATTTATCTAATGAATTTGGATTTTCTAAACTATTACGATGTTGTTCAATATCTTTACATGAGTTACATATGAAGTTTCCTAATGCTTTTCCATGTTGTCTGTATTCATCTGCTTTTATATACTTTTTATCCATAGGTAGATAATTTTTAAATGCTTTAATTCCCATAGCTATTTTTACAAGTAGCGGACTAGGTAAACAATCCATTGTATCTTTAGAGAATGGCGTATTTGATTTGGGATTTTCTAATAATTTCATCATATGCCATAATACTTCTTTTTTTTGATCCTCATTATCAGAATATGAAAGGTTCGATAACCATTGCGAGAATAATTTTAAAACTTGACTAGTATCATCTTTATGCAATTGATTATCGACACATACTTTGGTTTTTTTCTTTCACGCTTATGAACATGTCCACCATTGCTCTCAAAACACATTGTACAGATATATCGCACACGATGACCATTAGTAATTCTCAAAGCGAATTTGAAATTTCTTGAAAAGCAGGACACGATTTTAAGCCAATACATGGTACTTGAATATTTCTTCCACAGATATTCCAATTATGTTCTCCGCAATCATTACCTCTACTAAAAAAATTTTTATATTTATTGCAGAGCAAGCATTTTTTTGGTTTAATTACACTTAGACTGGGGTCTCTAGCTCGTTTGGTATGAGGCGAGTGAAGTTTATTTTAGTTGAAATTAAAATGACTAGAACAAACGTCTAAGGTATTTATATTAGAATTTTTTTCCTGTGTCATTTCTATTTCCCAAGTTCCCACTAATTGAGATATTGATCTTAGCTGATGTATTGAATTACAGCGTCTAATTTCTCCTTTAAAATTATCAATAACAACGCAAGACAATTTTTTATTTTCTTCCACATCTGAAAATTTGCAATCAATAAGCTCATCTTCATCGGATAAGGAATCATCATTATTATCATCATCATCATAATCTTGTATTTCTAAAGGAACTTGCTCTTCTAACCAACATCTTGCCTTCATAGCAGCCAGATAATCATGAACGAATAATGGTTCATCTTGGTTGGCGCTAAAACTTTCTTCTAGATATTCATCCGTAGAATAATCGTAGTAATCTTCCATTGTTAATAACAAAACAAACTTTTATGAAAAAAAATTTAATGTTAAGTATTGCTTTGCAAATATAATTTGTAATTTGTTGGTAATGTTCCTTTCACGATATTACGTGAATACAGTATTAACATGATTTGGATTTATAGGTGTTATTCGTGTATGAAGACACGAAGTAGTATCTTTATTAGATATAATAATAATAATAAAATATAAAAGAGGTGAAAATTCAACTATTTAGTTATTAAAGGGTTGAGAAGTCGAAGTCTAAGGCATTGTAAGGCGAATTCAGAGGCCTTATATACATTGTGAGAAGACTATAATCTACAAAGTCAAGTATTTATCTATTTCTATTCTACTATGGATCACTTCATTCTCTAACGATTATTTTATATTATCTATATGAAATGCTATGGGGAAGCACTACTTTCATACAACTAAGTATGAATATAGGTTTTCGGAAGGGTCAATCTTAGGATCATCGGACTCATACTTTCATATGCTTGTATGGTGATATGGACGATCGAAAGTATACGATCCCATGCTTATCAATACAAAGTACCCTAGTTACTACGCCATAAGCTGGGTAACTTTTAGGGTTTAAAATGAAGTATTTTCAAATAATTAGGAGGTAATATACTATCTTGAAAAGTTACAACCTCGATTTCGAAAAACTAATTCAAGAATGAGCGAAAAAACAGGTTATGTTACCAAATTTGATTGCTCTCTGCAATGATTGTTTTTTTTAAAGCATGAATTTTATGCATATAATTCTATTTAGATTTTATGCGTCTTAGATTGAGGCTTTATTATTACACATTCACGATATCAGAACTTTAACGTATCGTACGAATCAGAAAATTACAACTAGAATTTATGATTATATTATAGATCGAATAGAATTAAAAAAAAAATTTATTATCTGTAATTTTTATTTGTTGTTTATTCATGTATAGTATAATATTTAAGTTTTAATAAATGATACATTTCTATTATAAATGTGAACATAATGAATGAAACGACATCAATAGAATAATATTTAATACACTCTCGAATAAACACTAATTTTTATTAAAATATTCTCGCTAAACAATGTCGCATTACTAATACTCGTAATCCAAAATGAAACCTTCCCGAAACTAGTTTTGATAATACTAATCTGAAACCAGTCTCAATTCAAAACCTAAACTATTTCGAAACTTAAATCTTGAATAATTAAAAAAAAAAATTGATAACAATCCACTTCCGATGAAACAAAAAAAAATAGGTTTAATCAAAGGAAGGAAAACAATATAGTACAAGAGAATAAAAAAACTGATCTATAATTAGACTAGTTCCAGCCGCATTCAATTCATTGCCCGGTAGCTAATTTTGCAGCGAAGCCCAACTTACAGGAAAGAGAAAGTTAGCTTCGACCAAAAAAGAAACTGGTACTTATAATAGACCAGTTCCAATTCCCAGCCGCATCCAATTTTATTCATTGCCTGATGCTAATCTCATGACAAGCCAACATACGAAAAAAAAGAAGTTAGTTTCTATTTCAAAGAAAGAAAACACATAACTCAAGAAAAAAAAAAGAACTGGTACTTATCATTAGACCAGTTTTAAGTTCCCAGCCACGTTCACTCAGTGCTAACTTCACGATGAAGCAGATTGACAAAAAAAAAACAGT